AAACAAAATAAATAAAATTCAGGGATTTTTTAAACGTTGTAATTAAGACGCAGTTTTTGACTTCAGTCATCGTTATATAGATGATTGTATAAACGGATAGACTTATGTCCGTGAATATTCTTGGAGATTTTCGAGCAAAAAAAAAACAAAACAAAAAACTGACGATTCTCTCGACAAAATATAGGTGGTAGAGGAAATTTCGAAGTCAGAAATATGAGTAAGACAACGTGCGAAGTGAGATTCGATGGAACGATCGCTGCACTTGGCCCGATTAGTGCACTCTTCATTTCAGGGAGCTTAGACCGGGAAGCGAATGGAAACGTCGGAAAACAGGGGAAGGCCAAAAAACAATGACACACTGCGGTTACAACTTTCTCACGGTTCGATGCGAAATCCTTCAGTTTTACCGTCATAAAATCATCGGAAAACAATACTGCAGTCCTAAAGAAAAACGCCCTATGAATATTTAAGCGTTGCCACATTTCTTCGGATAAAATGTGCACTCTTCGGGAAGTTCGCTCATCAATTCCCTTCGAAATTTTCAAATTTCGATCGCACATACAGGGCCGGATTTACCTACTTGCCGCCTATGGGCCGCCTGTATTTTGCCGCCCCCTTTTCACTCGTTTTGAAACATCAATAAAAACCATCTAGTGAACGTGCCGGAGGGGGAGAGGTGCATAAGACGCATTTAATTGTGTTGGGCACATTTTTTGCGAAAGCCCTGTCAACACTACTAGCAAAACTTCACGGAACTTTGCGCGAAAGTAAGGTTCCGTAAACCTATCTCTGTGTGAACAAGGTCTCCCATTTGTAAGAAATGAGGTAAAAATTATGCAAAAACAAACATAAATGTATAGTTTAATGGTTTTAACTTCCGCCGCGCTGACCGCACTGAGTTTGGCGCAATGCGTGAAGTATTCCTACAGTCTTGTAGGCGCTATGCGTTTCACGCCGACCGCTGTTGACCGCACTGTATTTGACGCAATGCGTGAAGTATTCGTGCAGTCTTGTAGGCGCTATGCGTCTTACGCTGACCGCACTGTTTTTGACGCAATTCGTGAAGTATTCATGCGGTCTTGTAGGCGCTAATATGTGTTACATGCCGACCGCCGCGCTGAGGGGTTCTCCTTTTCATCTCAAATCCTCGTCATCATTGCTCTCTGCGCCGCGCCGCTCCATGCTGAATCGCGTGTTCGGTTTCTCTCTTAACTCGACTAATTAAAGGTGCTGTCTCTTGTATCGCCGAAATACGACAGAATTAGAAATTCCTATACTCTCAGGAAATGAGAGATTTTGTCGCTTTTTCTCGTTTGTAATTTTTTTTCTGAATCCGCTTATTTTTTTATACCTACATTCAAAAAAATTGCTAAATTTGCAGCCCCCTGAATTTGACGCTATGGGCCGTGGCCCATGAGGCCATCCCCTAAATCCGGCCCCGCGTGCATAATCTAGTTCATCTAAAATATTTGAAGAGAAATATTCATGAGATTTCTCTAGTTTGAATATGTATTTAAGTAAGCTCAGGAAAATTGTCAACATTCAATGTCTCATGCGGCGTTTTCCCTCTGCGCGGTAGAATATTCGGATCCGCACGAAAACCGCAAGTGCATGCAATTGATACGTCAAGGCTTTCGTAGCGACTATTTTCATTTACTCAATATTCGCAATGTTGCAAAAAAATCCAAATCAAATTGCGAGCAAATTTTATCAACATGATCATGCCAGGGTGTTCAATTTTAAAGGGCTCCAAGAGAGAGGGGGAGGTGTCTTCGGTAACTAGACGACGAGGAGTAACAGGATGCAAAGGACCCAATTGACGAGCTACGCGGGAAAACCGCGAGACCATTTTTGCGGACGGAGACGGGACTGAACTTTTTGGTTTGGCACAGAAATGACACATCTCCCGTTGATTTTCCCGTAAAGATAGGTGTCATTATTTACATAAAGCTTGGTGGAAGAGCGGCGAAAACGCGACTGCGTAGTTTTTTCTAGGATGCTAATCTTTCAGGCTTGTAGGAAATGCTTGGTCAAACGTCAAGTGGTCAAATGTGCAAAGACTCTTAAAAAAAGCGGAAGGAACAATTTTTAGGGGTAAAAGGCGAAAGTCAGTGGAAAAAAGAAGGAAGAGGTAGTCGATTTTGAGATCTCAACAAAACTTCGAGCCAAACAGCCGAGTTGTTTCATTGATTTTCTCGTGGTTTTTGTTCAAGAAACGCCCCAAAAATTTAATAATGTGAAGATATTAACTGTAGTCGAAATTTCGAGTCCAAAGGTCTGTTTTTTGTGCGGCGGGCTTAACTGAGAGGATCTAAAATTACATAGTGCCTTCAATTCTTCATTTATACTTCGAAGACATCTCTTAAACATGAATTTGCTCTACAAATCGTGCTCAGCACATAGCTTTACCAAAACTGAAACATCCTGTATGCCTGTATGCAACGTTTCGTGCCTAGGAGATATCTTTGTAGTATAAACAAAGAATTGAAAGCCCTTTGCCATTTTTGATCATTGTAGTAAAGCCCGCCGTTGGCGTCGCATCACGGCTGAAGTGATGAGTGCCCGGACAGTCAAAATGCCTTCACTTTCGTGCATATGCAACACGGACATCCATGAAGCTCGAATAGTTGCATCCAGGCGTTTTTGTGTAGTGTTCGTCGCATTCGACACTAACAAGGGCGCTTTCTTGCTCCTCTGATTTCAGCATTGCCTACTGGTGCTGACGAAATGAAATATTACTGATTCTGATTGCGACATTGTCAAGTTTCCGAATAATGCATACATTTCTTAAAAATGCGACAACGTTGCCATCTTAAAATGTGGGCTGCGCCTCCGATCTAAGAACGTCGAATGCGGAAAAGTCGTTGCGTGATCACTTCAGAAACAATTAGAGCGCGCACCTCAACAAATCCGTATTTTTTTCTCGCTGAAGAGTTAGTGAAAAGTCCGGTCTGCAGTGCTCATACGTAAATACTTAAAACCATTCTCATTTAAAAAAAAAAAAAAAAAAATCGAGGAATTTCAAAGGTTCGAGTCTGGTCGAATATAACAAGTCCTCAGACACATCACCACACTCAACAAAAAATTTCGTGAGAATCGGCCTGAGAGATACTCAGATCTCACTGATACAAGAAACCGCTTCTTGTTTTAAGCATATAGATCGTTTCTGACAGAAAAGCTATCTGACGAACCGATCTCTTATGAGAGCAAACCTTACGCCGAACATTAACTTCAAAAAGCGATTTAAGTACTGGATTGAAGCAACGGCAACACCAGCAAAAACTAGGCTTTCTAACTAAAATTGGTGAGCCGACGACTTGTGTGTCATGGCAAACAGGTCACATTGTTTGGCGACTTGTTTTTTTTTTTTTTTTTTTTTTTTTTTTTTTTTTTTTTTTTTTTTTTGTTAACAACAATCGGCACTGATAATTTTAATAATCAACACTTTTCTTCCGTACTTTTATTTTCCACAAGGGCAGATCATTGTTATACCTTACAATGACATGTTTCTGAGATTGTCCTAATGAATTTTCCATGAGATTTGTCGAAATGCCCTTTCCATAATGCTACGGGGAGGAGCTCTGTAAACCTCTCTCAATCACACAGCAAACCACATGGGGCCTCCCGAAGACGGTTATTAATATCTACCGGCACGGTTCAAAATCCTGCATTTGATTGGCCGATCGGAAAATGGGAGACATTTTTTCGAGTTGGCAAGGAAGCTGATCGGAGTCGAATTTACGAGTGTCCGCGAGTGAAACCAGAGGGGCGGCGAGGAGCCGCACTGCCGTGCTAAGGAAAAACGCCGTATGAACCTTCAGGCGATGCCAAGTTTCCTCCGATAAAAACCGAATTTACTGGGGAAATTTTAAATATTATTTTCCAACATTTTCAGACATTTTAGGAGGAAACTTTATCTAAAATATCTGATAATATTACGTAAAGTATGCATAGATGTTGTCAAAAATACATGTTACCTATATCAAGGAAAATTTGGCAACTCTCGACTGTTCATACGGCGTTCTTCCTTAGCACAGCAGCGTAGGGGGGCTTGGCGGAATGCATCTTTCGATTCTAAACGCGCTAGCGCGGGACGGCGCGGCGGCGGCGGCTTACGAGAGGAAAAGGTAAAAAGGTAAATAAATAAGAACCCCGAGGAATTCAAATTCCGACTGCTTCGCTGCCGAATTGCTTGAATAAACCCCGGATTTTCCAAAAATCGCTTACCGACGATGATACAGTCAGCTCCAGCAGGCAAAATGACGTAAATTTGAAAGTTAAAGAAATGCATCTGAACCATTTACTTAGGTCTACTTGAGTATTGTAAGTTTATTTCCTACGAAAATGAAAGTAGGTTGAATTTTTGTNGGGGGGGGGGGGGGAGAACTGACAAACATATGTATTCATTATCATTATACTGAATGCATCCTCAGTTTTCATTAAGAATGTTCAAGAAATATTTTATTACACATATTTTTGAACGGTTTTTAAGAGATGTAAAAACGTGCTTTTTAAGAACCGTTAGGTACTAAAGGTTCTTCAAATAATTTTAAAACTTTTTAGAATTAAAATATGCATTAAAAAAATAATATTAAAAAACTCCTAATTTCTTAATTTTTTTTTTTTTTTTTCCCCACACTTTCCTTCAACATTTGAAGTGTTTGGAATCAACAGTTCTTTCTTTCAGACTTTTTAACTTACAGGTTTTTAAATTCAAAATAGGTTTTCTGCAACTTAGAGTTAAGTACTAAACTTTAAAATTTTCTTTGAGTTTTTTGACGGTCATTACAAGACTAATTTACTTACTAAAGCTAAGTATTTACTCAACCTAAGTAGTTTAAAATAAAGTAGAATAACAGGCAGAATTTCAAAATGGAATGTAGCTTGGTTTTATGTTAAAAAATAGAACATACTAAAGCAAGAGGAAACTAAGCAGCATCCGCCATAGTTTGGCTGATTCTGGGTATAGGTACATAAAGAAATATATATGTGATGGGTACCTTTCATAAAATCATTGATCACCTGCCTTGGTATAAAAATCTGCAAACTGATGCAGAGGGATAAAGACATGTTTCTGAAAAGCAATAGTAAAAATTTGGATAAGAATGTAAGGATTGTTAATGTTGGTTTCATATTTTGTTCTAGAAAAACAGCAAAGAAATTCAAGATATAAATATTTGTGTTGGACACCTTTAGTGCATTCAAGATTGTTTTGTGGTGCCCTAAGTATATAAAGTGACCATGTATTAAAAGAAGGGAGTATTAAGGATGATAACAGTACTAAAAGAAGGGAGTATTTAGGATGATAACAGTGCATGCAAGAGACCAGGGACCCACTCACAGATAAAGCCAATCGCAATTTTTTCTCAGACTTTATTATACACACAAAGGTTTAAAAAGTATCAATGTTCACTGAGAAACAGCAAAAAAAGTATGTTTCATTGGTATATAGAACTCGCGTCAGATAAGTTGACAGTTGCATATGTTCTGTTTGCAAGCGGCTGCATTGCAGTTGTCCAATAGTCATTGGTGATTGACTGCAGGCAAAGCTGCTGCTGTGAGCAAAGACACACATATGACGCTCTACTGCGCGTGGCAGTAAAAAGTATTTAACTGTCGACTTGTCTGATGCAAGTTCTACCTACTTTACCATACTGACTTCTCCCTCTACACTGTTTGAAATGATGACTTCTTATCATTGATAAGTCGTTAAAAAGATAATTCAGATGATTCGAGTAACCTAGACACAAAACAAGAGCAAAGGGAAAGCAATTGTTCAGTAATGTAATTACCAATACCAGAGCTAAAACTGGCTGTTTATATATAAAATTCTATACTTGTTAAAAAAGCAATAAATAGAGGTGAAGGTAGAAGATTCATGAAATAAAAATATTGCCAATTTTTATCGCTTCATAATACGATTTTTTCTCGACGTTTCTACTTGCCCAAAAAGCCTCTTTCACGGTTCCGGCAACCGTACTTAATTTTTGCCTGGGGGTGCCCAGCACCCACGTAGAACTTGCGGATAGTTGATATTGTTCCTTAGCCATTGATATGCGACTCAAGTACGAGAGATGCAAGGAAAGAGCAGAAGCATGTGCTGTGGGTAAGTTTAAGGGAATAGTAGGGAACAAATAATAATGAACGCATCTGCATCGTGTAGATTGAGCTGCAGTCATACCTTTAAGTTGTAGATCTTGAGCATTCTTCAGCCGCAGACATAAAAGATTAAGAGCGAAAAAGATAATCTGTTCCAAGCCTAGGAGGGATTGACACTTCTTGATCTATGAAGGTAAACACACTACTTTCGAAAGACACGTTGCACTAAACAATAACGAACAAACCACTATCGGAAGAACTCAAGCTCGAAGCTTCGCGCAAAAGCACGCCGTAAACACTGCTTTCTCGAGTGTATGGAAGTGTATTCATTTGCGATTCGCGTTGTGTTGTCTGCTGGTGCTAGTTTGGTCTGCCAAGTGAGTGACAGTAACAACGGTAACAACGCGTTCAATGTTTTGGTTTTGATTTTGATCCGGTACTTCTTTTATCACAAATCGCAATCACAAATCACAGAAACTACACTGCCAGGCAGCGAACTCTAGCTGCTGAGCAGTAAACTAATTATGACACAGTGAATTTTCATTCTTTACCTGCAGCAAGCTTGCAAGTACACATAACCTCAACCTCAACCCGGTTTTGTAAACAATAAGCATGAAAGCATGAAATGTAAAGGAAGTGAAGTGAAGTAATCAGCGAGACTTTCATTCGTACTCTTGATACCAGTTAAATCAAAACTAAGTGTTTTTCATCATTTCACTATTTTACAATTTCTCCTCTGTATTCTCTGCAAGTATTGGTGCTCAAAACAATGTCCTTTCATTATCACCGTCACTCAAACGTGAGTTGGCCTCTGAGTGTGGACTGATTAGTGTTTGCTTCAGATCATTTCTTTCCGGAGGACCAGACCGAAGAGTCTTTTTCTTGTGGAAAGTTACTAGCTCTATTCTTTCTTCCATGCTCATCACCTAAAGCTGTTTTCATATCAAAACTCTGCCAGTCATGTCCCGTCGCTTTTTGAGTCTCATACAAACAATCAGATCTGGGATTAGTGCGCAACAGTTTACAAATCAAGTCGTCAGTGCCAAGTGCTTGTATTATGGCATCTCTCCTTTTCACACCTGCTCTAACTTATTACAAAAAGAAAATACAAAAAAGCAGGGCGAAGAACATGCCAAAGATGAGCAACGGGAAAACCATGATGACTCATCTGACAATAAGGATCAACAGAGGCAAGAACAGGATCAAGATAAAGACACACAATTTGGCAATGAGTCTGAGTCCAAAGGCTCGAAAAATGGTTTTAATTTCAGCCTTGTTCCAGTAGATGATTTTTCTAGAGTTGAAAATAAGACCAAAGTAGCGTTCCATGATGCGATTGACATCTATAAACGCCGCACTCCACCTACGGGCACTGAGCATATTGCTTTTATCTACGCAGCTTTGAAACACATGAAAGAATTTGGAGTTCATAAAGACCTTCAGACGTATAAAGCTTTAATAGATGTTTTGCCCAAAGGAAAATATGTCCCACGCTCCATGTTTCAATCAGAATACTACTTTCATCCCAGAGAACAACAGTGTATCGTTGACTTATTAGAGCAAATGGAGGATAATGGTAAGTTTAAATTTTTTCATCCATATTAAGTTAGATCTGCTCACTTACCTTTCTCATTCTCAGTAATGTTCATCAGGAAGGCAAATTCAAGGAAGCGGGTATATTTGACCTCTTCGAACGTAGAACTGGGGAGAAGAAAGGCTGGACAGAAGTCACATCAACCTGAATGCATCAATCATTAGTTGGCCCATTGGTTAGCACATAACTTTCTGCTGAGTGGTGCCATTTTTTGATGTGACATTTGTCCAATAATCTTTTCTTTCCCCAGTTCTAATACTTTTTATTTCACTTTTTTACGCACCGGAAAGAATAATTATGTGCCATTTCACCTCTCAGTTATAACATAACCATGATGAAATGTGTATCTCTGTTTGCAGCATCAAGGATTTCCTGTTGTACTCTATTTCCTACATAGAAGACTACTGGTCGTCCATAGAGAAAAAAAAGGAGGTGTTTGCATCTTGAGGATTTGTACCCACCTACGTCATCAATGTAAACAAGACGCTCGTTGAGGGTTATGTTGACGCTGTAAAAACGGACCATAATGTCCGATTTTTTTACTTAAATCAACTCTTAATTTAATTTCAAGCACTTTTTATAGAATGACTTTTTCCCTTAAATTACACCATTTCCAAGAAAATCGACAGGATAAAAACGTCGCTGTACCCAATGACGTCATCAAAGCTATAGATACTCTATGAAAAATTCCAAGATGCCCGAAATGCAAACACCTCCTTTTTTTTCTCTATGCTGGTCGTCATTTATCTAAAACTTCGGTGACTTTTCTTTTCCATGTAGAAAATATTCTGTGATAATTAGAAGCCGTGATGTCAGACCAGTCTTCTTTTAGTAAATAAATTAAGAACATAGATTTTGAAACTCTACAGCCAAGATACACATTTTTGCAGTTTCACCAATGATAAGCAATGCTCAGCATCCCTAGTTAATCTTGCAAATTTGTGTAAACTGAAGTGTAATCATCCTGCCCTTCTGATTGCCTAACCTTTAGTATAAAAATTACATGAAGTAAATACAGAAAATAGTGATTCCGTAAATTTTCAGGTAGGTAGCCGAGCTTTCTATACATCATAGATTCTTTTTTATCAGTTTGGTGAACTTGAATTTTATCGACTTTTTCTCTGTTTCGTGAAGCTGTAATCCCTGATTGGGAAATGGAGACAATGTTAGTCAACATATTTGGCAGGCGAGGGTATCCTGTAAGGCGCTACTGGCGGATGATGTACTGGATGCCTAAGTTTAAGAACCTGTCTCCTTGGCCGCTCCCATCGCCTGTTCCAGAAGACACTTTAGAATTGGCTAAATTAGCTATAAAAAGAATCATGACAGTCGATCATCAGTCAGAAATCACTGTCTTTCAGGTTGGTATTTGTGTAATTTGCCTCTCATGATAGATTCTGATTTTGCCAACCCAAAAGTGTTCAACAAATTCTGAAGATCAGTCAAATTGTTTTGCTAATGAAGGGGGAAAATGTTTCCTTAAAAATTTCATTCATTCTGTAAAAGGTAAATTTTAGAGTTACAAAAAGTTAAAACTATTACTTTAACTGTATCTCATAGTGATATTTGGTATCATCAAACATTTTCAAAGTTATCTTCAAGAGCATGAATCCACATGCAATGTTGCTACATAAGGAATTTCTATTAAGTGCGTGTGCAAATACTTTCAAATGCGTTTATTTCACTTCAAGTAGGTACAAATATTACAGCCAATTGGATCGTGTCAAACAGAAAGGAACCAAACCACATCAGCTATTGCCAAATTTAACTGGGCAATGTAATTTTTTACATGAAAACGGTTGTGCGGATTTTTGTGCAAATTTCAGTGAATTTTCTCCATACCTAGTACAAAGCAAATTCCTTAAAAGCTTTAAAGGAATCTGCACAGATGTTCTCTTGTAAAGAATTAAATTCCCCTGTTAAATTTGGCAATAGCGGATGTGGCTTGGTTCCTTTCTGTTTAACGCAGCCCAATTTTAACAAGGCTTCAGAAAAGTTTGACAGGATTTTCCTGTATTTATAGGGGCATCATGTCCAAACAGAATTTTTTATAAAATTCCTTAAAATCCTCCATTTTGAAAAATATCTCAGTTCTTTTGTTCCTTTTCTGAATTGTATCAAATCGCTTTTTTGTTTTTGACCTTTGTCTCTTTCTGTTTTAGACTAAAGATGTAGAAAATAGCATAGATGACACATGGATTGTTAGTGGGCAAAGTCCAGTACAACGAAAACTTTTGGAAAACCATCCTGTGAACAAACCCATTTATGTGGAAGGTGGCTTTAGAATTTATCTGAGGGAAATGCCTATGCTGTACTTTATTCTACGAGCAGAGCCCGATAGAAATAGAAAAATTCCTGTGAGAGATGATTACAAAGCAGACAGTAAGTTACTCTTTTCTGATAACTTTTTAACAAAAAATGATAATTTACCGTAGGAGGTTAATTCCTGATAAACTAATGCACGGAGGAAGGGCCAGAAAGAATAATTTTGTCATTTCAAAATTGCAGTTCAATCGTGAATTGAGAGATGAGTTTTTATCCATGAAAGTTGCTAAATGTCAAGAAATGGAAAAAAAAAAACACTCTGATAGTGTAACAACTTAGACACTTTTAGTGTAAAGTGTAACACTTTTAGTGTAAAGTGTAACACTTTTAGTGTAAAGTGTAACACTTTTAGTGTAAAGTGTAACACTTTTAGTGTAAAGTGTAACACTTTTAGTGTAAAGTGTAACACTTGTAACAACGACCAGTGCACACCGCGAGTCTGCAATCCTTGGATCGAAAGATACCCTTGAATGGTACCTTAGTCTATCGGGTCATTGATGTTGGAATTTGACCATCTTTTTCTGATCGACTATAACTATAACACGAACCTCTCTATAGCTAGGAAATTGGTCGGTCTCTTTGAGTTCTCGTTGTAGGGAGAGATTACTGTTTTATAATTTCTTTCTCCAGCTTTGGCATAAACAATTTTAATTTAGAACCAAATTATAATGCTCAACTGAGAAGTCATTAAATTGGGTGTCAGCCCTTTCTGCTGCACTGACAGACGTCCCGGCAAACATGGTGGCACTGTCAAATTTTGTTTTTAATGTAACTAATACAGTGTAACTGTCACTTGAAAGTGCGAAATATAAGGTGATAGAAAACGCGAACTTTCAACTTTAGAGATATGAGGTAGAATTAGTGCAGCCTTAAAAGATTTCTTGACTTTGGAGAGACCTTAATTGCTATAAATGTTAAAACGAGAATGTATTGTCAACTGCGGCGACGTATCTTTCTAATGGCTTTTGCCAAGAAATCAAAATTTTAGTTCAATGTTGCAATTTTTGTAAATATTACCAACCCCTTTTGAAAAATATTGCAGGAGATTCCCATGATCATTACTAATTCAAATACTGCCCAGGAGTGTTCTTTTGCTTCAAATTTGGAGTTCGTGATGTGTAACGGACCGAATATTCTCAGTCTTGGAAGTCTCATATGTTTTAATATAATGATAACTACTCATGTTTCTATGCATGATTAAGCTCAGGGTATGACTCTGGAATGATGCATTCCTTTTGATCCATCACCTCGATCGTTCAATCGTCAAATCGTTCAATCGTTCAATCGTTTCAATCGTTTTGCCTTTGGTTGCTCACAGCTCATGGTGACATGACTATTCCTGTCATCATGGAATCACCCCCAACATATTTCCAAACAGATAAAAAGTGTACATCTTTCTGAAACAAGGGCCCAAATTTAAGTTAAAATTCATTATTGGCTGTATTCATTTCCTCTCCTACTTTTTTTCAGATGTCTCTCAGCTCAATTTTCCGTACATAGCATCTGCAGGAGCATCTGCTGATGATGATATAGTCAATAAGCCAACAGTACACGAGCAAGAGGATGGGACCTTTTTTGCTGTTTGTGCAACTGGCACATCTAGTAAGGACTCACTTCTCAGTTGGATTCGATGCTTAGAGAAACATGGCAATCCTAAGCTTGGAAAAGTATCTGTTTTATTTACTTTCAAATCGCCAATTGGTGCAACTGTTTCTATTGAAGATGAAAATGAAGGACAGAAATCCGTAGACCAAGAGAAACCTCCAATTGAATCATAGTTTTCATCCTCTTAAAGAGTAGAGTAGGCTCTACCGTTTGCATGTAGGTTTCTTTTTCCCAAACCTAATTGATAGTGCATAATCTTCTTACTAAAACTTACAAGATGACTTGAAGTGAAAGATTATACCTGACAAAAAGAAACTGAGTAATTATGTTTTGATAGCTCATCCGCCCTCAAAATTGTTATATTTCTAAATTCTCAACAGAATCTGGAAGAAAGAGGACAACCAAAAAGAGAGCGAATTGTGGGAATTTTCTTCTGGTTGAATTTGATGAAACTTAATCTTGTTCATTTCCATATTCTCATCATCCTGAACAAAATTTCTGCTACATGCCTGGAGATCGTGTGCGACCTTTTCTAAGATGATCCCAGAAGTATCATTGATTTTATCTTGAATGATCAGAGTCTACACAGAATTTTGGCAGTATTTGACTTGACTTTTACTTTTATCTAGAATTAGGTATCTCGATGGCATTACATTAAACATTCAAGCACCCACCATGACTTCTGTTAGAAATAGAAATGAGAGTTCTGCACTAAAGTATCATCAAATTGGGCCAAAAAACAATAATTTCCACAAGATACTTGCCTCCTCCTTTTCTTTTTAGTCAATTTCCAGCATACCCCTTCATGTCAGAAACTCTGCAAGCTCCAAGTATTTTGTGCTTTTTCAATGAGTATCTCCGAAGCAAGTATCCTTTTCCCCCTTTCCCTCTCCAACTGTACTTTTTTTCATATCTAAGTGAAGTACTTGGTGGACTTAAGAAAAAGACGGATTTGGATTGACAATCTTATCGCGTGATTTATTGAGCCAAACACGCGTACCAGAAAAATTGTGCTGTCGAGCATGCAGGATAACAAAAGACAATTGAGCCTGGCCAGAGGCTAAGGACATGTGAAGAACACACAAGGTTGCATACATAGGTTAGACTATTTGGGCGGGTAATTCAAACATAACACTGAGTAATACTGAATGTGAGCAAAAAGTGCATTGTTTTAGTAATAACCAATGTAAAAACTGTGCGAATGATCTTAGTGATTCCTCTATAGATGTGAAATTGTCAAATCGATATCTAAAAATGGGTTTTAAAGAAAAATCAATTTCATCGCTCTCTTGTGAAAGAAGGTGTGTGTGAATTATGTTCAAATAGATTTGGAAAAAAAGAGCCTTCCATTTTTGAACTGTTTAAAATTTGTTTTTGTTGCTATGAGTTTTTGTTTATATTATGAAAAAAAAATAAATAAATAAAACAAAAAATGTAAAACATTTTCAGTAACATTGGCTCTATTTTGTTTTATCTCCTAAATCAATCTAACCATTCGGTTAGAATCAGTACACAAATTCTCCCAACAGAATCACTGAGTCTGATGCTACACTTCGACTGATAAAAATGCAAAGTTGGACCAATTACTTCAAAAAATTAAATTCAGGTCAATGCTGTAAGTAAAAATGGATTCTTGTTTGTCAAATCATATCCTTTCCTTACAAAATGAAGTTTTTCTTTTTTTATATATAAACCCTTGAGGAAGAGAACATTTAAAAAAACACCAACTTTTGTAGGGGTGAGGATCTTGAAGTAATCAAATTTAAATATAATGTTCCCAACCACAGAGTGGGTAGGTACACCTTTCCCTAATGATGGAAAATTCGAGGGAAATATTTTTTCACAGTTTGATGGTCTTACCTAGTAAAAGACTTAAAAACTTCGTAGGTGGCCTTGCAACAACTAAAAGTTGCAAGGTGTAACAGAAAATAAAATATTCTGCTATTAAGCACTCTTTAAAACTATGTCCATATTTTATGACTTGCTTCGATTGAAGAAGCCTTTTTCTTATTTTTCCAAATTTTTTTATTCTTTTAAGTTTTTAGAACCCCGCTTATATTTTAAAATCGGTAGCTGCCTTTATTTTATTCGAAAAAAAATAGGGTCCCATATTCATCTAAATTAGGTCAAATGGAAATAATGATTGCATATATCCAGAGTGTGGTTCCAAGTGCTTCTGTGCTGTGAAATGGGACGAAAATATGTTCTTCCCAACAAAATTTTGAGATAACTTTTGACCAAAATCTTCTATAAGAACTCTACTCCTGATTAGGAGAAATAAGAATGAAATTGTCATTTTAAACCAAGTTGAGTGTATCCAGAAAATTGGACATAGTTTTAATTTCTAAATTTAACAAAACATTTAAAGTATGCTGTATAATTTTTACGTCTTAATTTGTTGAGCGCTTTAGAGTTTTGAAGTTCTGAACGTGGCAACATTGTCTTGTCGAAAAATGTCGACCTTTTGCGGATTTTTGCACAGGAGGAGGCCTTGTCACAGGGAACACTAAGTATATCTGAATATGATCAGGTTTCATGTAGAAATCAGCGCTTTTGAATGCCCAACCCACTCTCTCTCAAACAAATCTTTCGGTTCTAAGTAAGTGTGATGTGCTTCAGCAAATGAGCCTGTGAGGTAGAAAAGGAATCATTCAAGATTAGAGGCAGTTCATAAAATGTATAACGCTTCTCTAATTTTTCGAATACTCTCCCCCTCTTGTAAAGTATTAATGTCAGTCCCAGCCTTTAACAGGTAAAAGGAAAAAGATAAAATCCTCTCCTTGACCCTCCTCCCCTCATTCTCCAGAGCAAGCACTTAGTTTATGAACAGCCCTTAAATAAAGGTACCTACCTACCTCAGAGTTTGGAAAAGTTGATTCTGCATCATTTACTTAGTATGAAGAACACCAAAACATTTCCAAAAATGACCCATCAAGAGTAAGTTAAAGTCATAGAATGAGTAATTGCATAAAATACAAATGAAATTTGCAGGCGTCATTGCCAGGTTTAGAAAAAAATCATTTCAAAATCTGAAAACATCATAGGTACCTTTCTATATTGCTATGTTTGACTCATTGTCAGTGATTCTTAGATGAAATCCCCAGAAAGTATGCCCATAGCATTGAAATATGGAAATCGATAATTTTGACCTCAAAGTGCGGTGTTTTCATAGTACTAAACAGAAACTGACTGTAAGTGATAAATTAATACTCCTTATTACAACGCAAATAAAAGTTAAAATTTGAATAGGTACTGTGAACTTGTCAAAGATGGTCAAAGTATGAATTAAGAGATTGAATTTTGTTTGGATGAAGTGAATATTTTATAGATACTCATTGAGCTTAATTGGTTTTTATTTTATCCCAACTAAAGACAAATAAGGAAAATGATCGGTTGTACGTGGGCACGATTCGTCAAAACAGTCAAAATGAGCTTTCATCGGCGCACCTTCGAAGAGCTCCTGATGCAACATGCAATACATCAATCCACTCTCCTGATGCAACATGCAATACATCAATCCACTATCACAAGCGAGAAGTTTAGTGTAAAAGGGTAAGGGTTGGCTAAGGGTTGGCGTTCTTGGATTTTCCTGTGAACAATAAGAGTCGACTGTTCAGCAGAGATTCCTTCCTTGAGCTCGGAAGGCAGGGATGACAAAAATCCTGCCGAATTTCCATCGCAAACTGTCTGGTGCGCAATCGGGAGCATCGATGTTTCCTTTCTGCAGACTCACTGCACTCCCCACGCGCCGCAGGATTTTTGTCAACCCTCGCCTTTCGGGCCAAGCAGGAATCTTTTAAATTCAAACCAAATTAAACGCTCTTTTTTTT